AAATTTGGGTTAAGTATAACTTTATATACCATATATATGGAAGGGATAGATATGATGAGTTATATAAATCACTAGTTATAGTTATTATATTATTATTAAATAAAATATGCATTTCCACCAGTACAGATGTTCCCAGTTCATCAAGTCCTTAAACTGAATTTCCAATAAATTACTATTGCCTTACCAACACTTGGTGCTAGAGGGACAGGCAGCTCAGCAGCTAAGAGTACTTCCTGCTCTGTCAGAGGACCCAGGTTTGTTTACAAACACCTACATGATGGCTCACAACTGTCTGTCACTCATTCCAGAGAATCCAGGCCCCCTAGGATACCAGGCACACATGTGGTGCATGTACTTCCATGCATACAAAACACTCATATCCATGAAAGTTAATGTACCTTTTTTTAAGTTATGCTTTATGGCTCAAAAAAAGTGAAGTGAACAGTGCTTTCCTGGCACTCAGGTGCCCCTGGGTTCGATCCTCACCACAGAAGGTGTCAGCACCGGCCCAAGGAGAAGAGAGAAGAAAGAGAAAATACTTAAAGTCAGGTGTAGTGTGGTGATACATGCCTATAATCCCAGCACTTCAGAAGGAGGCTGAGCCAGATGGGAGGCAACAAGTTTGAGGCTAGCCTGGGCTACACAGTGAGTTCCATACACCATCCAAGGCTACACAGCAAGACGCTACCTCAATTATTTTTTTTTTTATTTTAATGCTATAGTTACAAAACTGAGAGTGTGGTTTAGTGGTCGATAGAACCCTTGCCTGGCATGTTCAGGGTCCCAGATTCAATTCCCAGAACCACAAAAGAAAGAAGGGGGAGGAAGGAGAGAAGAGGGTAAGGGGAGAAGGGAAACAAAGAAAAATGGAAAAAAAGAAGAAAAAACTTAGTTTCATACTACATGGATAAATGAGATTTATATCAGCTAACAATAGCTTTAAATAGGAAGTAAACAGACATTTCAAAATGGGATTTTAGCTTTGAAGACAAAGATACCATTTATGTTAGCAATTTAATTCTAATAAAGATTACTTGAGTCTTTGTCTTTCACAGTGAAGTGAAAGTAATTGGTGACCAGAAATCTTCTGATAATTTGAAATTTTCCTGATAAAGTAAAATTTAAAAAACTACTATTATAGGAGGTCATATTTCTTAAAACTTTCCTAATTTGCAGTTTTATTAAACAAAAATTTGGAAACAAGTTTTGCTGATAGTTTTACCAAAGACCTATTTTTCATTCCCTGGATGTTCTTTGGTGTCACTAACAGCTGGATTCATGTATCTTATAGTCTGAATTGCATGCCACTAACCTGCAAATTAGTATAACCTAACATCTTATGCAATTAGTACAGCCCTAACATCTATGTGGCTGCATTCGAAGACAGGGTCTCTAAAGAGATAATTAATATTAAACAAGGCCATACTGCTGGTTTCTTTGCTAATCAACTGGGATCCTTATAACAAGGGGAAGAAGCGGCAGGAATATGGAGTAAAAACCACATGTAGAAGGTGAGTGGTGGTCTTCGAGGCAGGAAAGAACCTGCAACAAAAGTCGAGCTTGTTGGCACTTTTCTCTCAGTCTACCAGCCTCCCGGACACCCATGGCATGGGATCCTAATCTACCCAAAACATTTGTAATTTTACCCTTTCCTTCCCTAAATCTGCCCCCAGCACAGCTATATAATAATGAGATCTTCACTCACTAAGATCCTATATGATTTTGGTTTTTCACTAAATTTCATATTACTGTAGTCTTACTTGCACACTAATTTAAGGCAGTTGGAGATACATATTATTTTTTAATAAAATAGATTTTCTGTGGATCAGAGTTTGGTAAGTTATAAATCCCTTTGTCTTCCTTAGTTGTGTTTCTGAATTAATCAGCTTGGGCTGCCACAAAATATTGTAGCTAAGTGGCTTAAACAGTGGCCTGTATTTTCTCACAGAGCTGGAGGCTGGAGTCCCACATCAAGGCACCAGCCAATTCAGCTTCTTAGGAGGATTCTCTTTCTGGCTTGCAAATGACTATCTCGTCCTCACATGGCCTTTCCTTGGTGACAGTGTGGTGAGAACAAGCTTTCTTTGCTCTTACAGGGACACTAGTTTTATCAGTTCAGAGCTCTGCCTTTACAACCTCAATCAACCTTCAGTATTTATCAAGGCCCCGTCTCAAAATACAATCCACACTTCCTAAGGGTTTTAACTTAGGAGTCTTAGGGAACATAAGCATTTTTTCTCTAACAGTCTCTAACCATAGCAACTCACCTTTATAGACCATCTTTTAATAAACTGTTAGAGCTCCCAAACTACTCAAAGAGAAACAACAAAATCCACTACATATACAAACATTCAGATAAAATGCTGCTACTTTCATTATCAAACCTCCTGCCTCAGCCTCCCAAGTGCTGGGATTACAGTCATGTTCCATCATGCCTATTAATTTTTTAATGATATCAATGACATATGGCCCTTTTTTCTTTCTTCTCTTCTTTTTTTAAGACAGGGTCTATGTAGCCTTAGCTGACCTGGAACTCACTATGTAGACCAGACTGATCTCAAACTCATAGAAATCCACCTGCTTCTGCTGGGATTAAAGGTGTGTGCCACCATGCCCAGCACAGACAATACTAGTAAAATGTTACAAATGACTTGGTAGAAGAAAACCAAATCTGAACTACAGGAATGATCCTATGCGAATCAGCAGAGACTATATGCCTAAAAGACAGGCCATGAATACTACAAAAACAGAGTCCTCTGTCACCCCCAAACTGGCAGGCAATGTGGGAACAGAATGGGTGCTACTGAGTGGCCTTTGCAGAAAATAATAATAATTCAGGTACAGAGAAGGCAAAGTGCTTTCCTTTTGATTTAGCTTACACACGACTACATGGTCGTCTCATCTATGATCTATGCTCTGTTACATTTCTTGAAATTTTTACCACAGTACATCTAAAAGACAGGTGTCTTAAGATGGACCACTCAATTAGCATTCTCAACTGAAGTCTGCTCCCAAACCATCAGACTGGAGAAGTCTTTCTAGAGTCTATCAACGCAATACTATCAGTAAAAGCTACAAAGCTAAGTAAGTACGAGGCACCTACTTTTTTAATTACCATGGTTTCTCTAATCTATCCATTTTACCCCCTCAATTTAGCCAGCAGATTAACCTTCACAGAACTCCATGACTCCACTAATGAAAATGATCCCCCGGCCTATAAACCAAAGTACAGACTGCTATGCTTAACATTCAAGCAAGTCCAGTCAACCCTCCAAATTCTAAGGCGTCAGAACCCAAGGGTTCAACCAATACTGGAACAATCATCCTTTTCTAAGTGTCTGTATTGAGCATGTGCAGATTTTCCCCTCTTGTCCCTCTCTAGCGAATAGAGTATAATTACTATTTACATATCATCTACACTGTGCTCAGTATTATAATTAATCTAGAAATGATTGGAAGCCTGAGGGAAGATATGTATAGCTTCCATGATCACCATTTCCTCTGAAGGACTTGACATGTGCCAACTGAGGTTAGGGAAAGGTGTCCTAAAACCAGTGTTCCCAGGATACTGAGAATAGCTGTATCTCCATATTCAAGGTCCACCTGATCTTTAATTTTAGTTCCAGAAAATAACACTCGTCCCAAATTCAGTGCTCACACTTGCTCCTTACCCGAGACTTGACAATCTCTCCTACCTCTCTCATCTTCACCTGCCATCCAAAGCTTTTCCATTCTTCTTTTCTCTCTTTCAGAGAGCATTCTCTGATGACATCACACAGGCTGATTTTTTTTTTCTTCAGTCATCCATGCATATTGATCCAGAAACTCAATGGGCTTCTCAATTTCTTTATCCACGGTTGCTCAGGACATAGACTGAATTATTATTTACTATGCTTGTTTATCATTATTTGTGGGAAGGTTCTGAAATGCCTTATAGGTTGATTCTTGGGTGCAATTTTAATTTTAACTGCAGGCGATTGCCTTAGAAACCCCAAATCACACATCTTTCATAACCACGGAAGCTCACAGCAAAGGACTAAACAACTTTAGGTTAATTGGTGTTAATTTGTTTTATTTATAAGTTTGTGAATTACTTACACTTTTGTGCCTTTCTTAGAGACATCCAAGAAAAGAATGAACTTGACACCCTTGGAATATTTTGTTCAGTTGCTGGATAGTCTAACTTAGCTATAATTTGCTAGATCAACATTTATATGCCAGATCTATTACGGTAGGGCTTAATACTAGTTGTCTCCCCAACAGCAGTCATTGTTACATATGCACATAACTCATACCGATAAATATGTGATGTGTGAAATAACGGCTGTAGCATGCCTACATTCAAGTAGTTTCTATGTTAATGGAATGGAGACAGCTCTACCATCAAGGCAATTTCAAAGCACAAGTGCTGGAGGAAAACGTAATAATGTCCAAACTATACAGTTGTTAACAGATGTGGACTTTTCCCCCAGGGGCACTCAGCAGTCCATCTGTATGGCCATGGGTAAGGGGTGGCCTTGGGGTGGCCCACCCTCTGGATTCAGTCTTGCCTCCCGTCTTCACTTCAGCTAGGACAAAAAGTTTCATCTTCCTAGCTGGTGTAGAGCTTCCAGCCCACTGTGGTGAGGACTAGGAGTGATGCTCCCAGAAGCGGCACGGTGCCCGGCAGCCTGGTGACGGTTCAAGAACTGCCGTGGAAGTACCAGTAACTGCAACAACGTGACTGCTGGTCCCCTGAACTCACCCGGGCACGTCCAGGACCCCAAGTCTGGTCTGCCCTCCACCGAGATCAGCAAGGAGAGGCCTCGAGGAGCCACCGGCAGGGAGGGGTCGGCCGCGCGCGAGGCCCGGGAGGCGAGGGGGCGGGCGGGGCACGCGGGCGGGCGGGGCTGCGCGTGCGCAGTGTCCGCGCGGCCGGCACGCGGCGCTGCGCTCGCTGCTTAAATGAGCCGGGGCTCCCGGCGCGCGCCACTTCAAGGGAGCCCGCCGCGGGAGCGGGCGCCGCCAGCTGTCCTCGGCGCGGCGGGAGGCGGCGGCCGTCGGGGACCCGGCACGGCGGGCTGAGGCGCTGCGCCCGCTGCAGGGAGGCGGCGGCGTCCGGCGATGGGGACCGAGCGGAGCCACCGCGCCGGGCCGTGACCGCCGCGCCGCCGCCTCGGGCGCTCTCGGAGCGCCGACGCTGAGGAACATGGCCCTGGAGCAGCTCTGCGCGGTCCTCAAAGGTAAGCGCGGGCGCGGGCGCGGACGGCGCCCCCTGCGGGTCAGGCCGCGCTCCGCTCCGCTCCGCCGCCGCCGCCTTCGCGCCCTTTGTCTGGCCCAGGCCGCCCGCCGCCGCCGCTGCGAGCCAGCTCTAGGGGGAGCGGAGGCCGGGGGACGCCGGCGACTGCGCTCGCGCCTCCGAGAATTCCACGCCGCGCTTCGCAAAGTGTGTGAGGCGAAGGCCGGCGGTCCCCGGTTGTCACCGCAGAAAGTCGTTGCGCGCAGACCACAAAAGCCCCAACTCGGACGCGCTGGAGCGGTTTCCGAGAAGCCCCGCGACGCCCGCGCCTCCAGCGGGTCCCACCTGCTGCGGCCGGGAGGCTGCGACACCACTGCGGGCTCCGGGCTCCGCACGGCCGCCCTGCCCGCGACCCGCACACCCCGCGCCGCCTGCCTTCCCGGGATCGCAGGATCCTGCTGCCCGGTCTTGTGCGGAGGATGAACCCGGTCATCAGCGGCCGGCCGGCCGACAGCACGGAGCTCGGAAAGCCACTTGGCAGCTGCCTCTTACCCGAGGTGTTATGTCAGATAAATATTTCTAGATCGTTTACATTGAAGGCAAAGTTTATTCCGGAACTCGTCCTGGATTGATCCTTTTATAAATCTCGGGGAAAAGCACCGCCATTCACTAACTGACTTCCTTTTCCCCTAATGTTTTAATGACAAATGGAATATCTGAATGCTTTTTGAAGAAACGTTAAGACAGTGGTAATATTGGCATGTATAATTTTAGCACTGAAGCTGAATATTTGCACAATTACAGATGTTAATGTTTCCCTGGTCCGTGTTACCACTGTATTTTCAAATTTTGTTTTATTAGAAAGTTCAATAGAACTTTACTTTTCATCATTCTTGAACTAATGATGTTTTAGACAAACTTCATTATTAGACAAATATTAATAAATTCGTAGTTGACGTTACCACCATTGAATTTCAATATTTACCAACCCAGCTATACGCATCAATACTTGTGCCAAGATAATCAATAACCTTGTAGCAGTGAATATTTCAGTTAATCCATAAATTCTTAGTGATTCCTTTAGTAGAAAAAAAAAAACAAATCCAAAATTCTGTAGTTGCTTGTAAGTCCTGATTTCTGCAGTCATTCCCTTGGAAATTAACGTTTTATTTCACTCATTGATAATAAATGAACCCACATGCACAACTGGATTTCTGCTGCTTTAGGGGAATTGTTTTCATTGTGATTGTGAAGCCACCATGTTAGTGTTGCCAACACCATAATGACAAGTCCATCTGAGTAGCCTTCCGCAAGAAATCCCTTGGATCTGTTACACAGCTTTACCTGCAGAACGGGACGAAACTGAAGTGGATTGGGCAATCTCCATAGGTACTCAAGGAATTGCAGCTTGCCTGTGCCTTTTCAGTGGGTACACACTGCCCTCTCTGGCCAACGCGAATTGTTGCGCCTATCCGGAAAAGAGTCTGTGATGATGGCTGAGCTCCAGTGAAAACAGTGTAGTATCTGGCTTTTATTATTTTTTTTCAAATATTATTCAACCTGAACTATTTTTACATAGCAAAAGTATTTTTACAGCTCCAGAAAATTGTGCTGTTGTGGGCTTAACTAGAGAGAGAGCAAGCTTTTTTTAATTCTTCTATACTATGCTTTGTAAACATTAGAATGTGGTTTGGAAAGACTAAAAAAAAATGTTAACAAAATTTGAACCTGAGAAGGCAATCTGGAGGCTGAAAGAAAAAGGGAGGGCTTAGGCTTTACTGCACATATTGAATCATTTGCTTTTTAAATCAAATGCATGTATTTCCTATATAAAATAATAATATTAAAAATGTACTTTAAGACAACTACTCTTTTCCAGTGCTACTATTTACTTGTGTCCTGAGGCATGAAAAAGCATCCCTTAAGTGTCTTATAAGTGAATTTTATCCACATCAAGAGGCTCTTCTCTGAAGTAGCCATTTAACACTTGTATAATTATAGATGCTACTTACTCAAACACTTGTTTTGGAATATAATAGTCAGCTTCCAGTTAAATATCAAAAACGAGTGTGAAGTTATGAATAGAAAGTGATTTATTAAATTACAGTAATGTGTGTGTGCGCGCATGAGTGTGTGCATGCACATATGACATCGTACATGTGGAGGTCAGAACATGTGGGAGGTTGGTCTTGGGGATTGAACTCAGATTGTCAGGTTTGGCAGCAAGTGCTTTTGCCAAGTAAGACATCTTGCCAGCCACTAATTTTACTTTTCAAAGATGCTACTATTCTTTTTCTATTTTGCAGCAGTTATAACAAAAGAGTAATTCTGTTAGGTTATTTGAGCCTTTCCAATATCAGTGAAAGTGAATACTTCACTTCTGTTATTAACCACTTCAGATATTACAGAATTTGAGTCAACCTTTTCTCTATAGTATCTAGGCATTATAATCCTATGAATCTTCTATTGAGATTATGAACCAATTGCTTCTTCTCAAATACTGTGCATTTGCTTCAGAAAAAAATCCTGTTAAAGCAATTGCTATGCAAAGCTATATAATCTGAGGTTAAGTTTATGACATAATGGAGCTTAACTATTCCTTAGCCCTGTGTATTTAAAAGTCTTGTCTGAACTGAGTATTACCTTCTGTTCTTTAGTCTTAAACCTCCTCCAGGAAAGATACAGGGGGGACTATCCCTTTAACAGTAAAGCTTCTCAATACAGCCTTCTTAAAACTTGCCCACCACCTACGTGCACAGAGACAGTTTGGAATAAATTGTTTATCAATTGAAATTTCTTATTAAGCAATGATTTTATTATACTAAATCTTGAATTAGAGGCCAATTTACATTTTTAAACCAGTGTTTCTTAAGGGGGAAGAATGTGTGCATTACAAGGCAAGTTTAAATCAAAGCCACTTTCAGTCCTTTGGGAATACAATAGGAAAATGATAGACTCTAAATTCCATGACTATTTTTCAAACAATATTTCAAATTTTAGAGGCTTTACCTGTTCAGCATAATCTCTCATCTTCCTATGTATTCTTCGGAATAATTATGGATATTTGAAATGTGTTTCTGGAATACTTTAAGGTTAAGAGTGAGTTAGAAAGGAGTCTCTTGAGAGGTGATTTAACCAGGGATTCATTCCTAAGCTCTCCTTAATGGCAGAAGCCCTTCAGAGGCATTCTAACAACAAAAGCCAGAACAACACTTAAGAGGAGTATTTCATGGGAAACCACTGCCTTTCAACATGTTAGCATATTTCTTACAAAATGACAGAGTACCATATACTAATCAGAAAGTTTAATTTTGTTCTGGTTAAAGTTGGTTGGATCAAATATGCATAGAGTAATATATTAGAAATTACAGCACTAGAATATAGCAATTATTCTTTCAGATATGGCTTGATCACATGAAAATTTGATGACAGTTTCTGTGGATGTGGAAAGTCGACTCCTTTAATCAAGGTGTAGCATACAGACCTGCCCTCAGAGCACTCACTAACAGGATTGCCCCGTTGTGAAGGAAGGAGAAAGCACTTCTGCTGCACAGTCACTTTCTTATAAATGTGCCTGGCAGGATGATCAGCATCTATAGGTTGCAGTGATCAAATGTTTACCCAGCGTTCTCCACCAATAATATATGATATTTAAGTGTGAGTATGTTTTGTGCTTTGAAATCTAGTTGGTCAAAAAAAAAAAAAAAAAAAAAAACAAAGCCATCATTCTGTCTCTTGTGTTAGATTTAACAAACCTTACATTTACTGCTTAGATGCTCAAAACAGGAGTACCTGGAAAGAGACATGTTTAATTGCTAGAAAAGGTAAGTTGAGCCATGTTGATAAACAAGAGTAGTGTCTGGTAGCCAAATTTAAAAAAAAAAAAAAAAAGTCTGTTCTTTTCGTATCCTACCTGATTTATGCTCAAATAAAAAGCTAGGCTGTGCACATGCTACTTTTAAGTAAGGTGTGAGTTTGTCAGTTAGTACAGCTCTTTCAGTACTATGTGCAGTCAGATTCCTGCTTAGTCACATCATGTATTCATCTAATTTGTATGGAGTGCTACTATGGGCCAGGCCAATCTTCTAAGCAGTGAAAATATGTCAGTGAACCAGACAAACATGGCCCCTCTTTTTAATAAGAAGAAACTAAATAAGCACACATACACACATGACAAAAATCAGATGTTATAAATACTAGTGACAGTAGAGTAAGATGATTTTAAAAACCAGAATTTATTTAGAAATTAGAGAAGCTTCAACAAATCAGAAAGAATGAAGGAATCGGCCATGCAGAGACTAATTCTAGACGTATAACATGGGTTAGTTCATAAGACAAGACATTGAAGTAATGGGTCTGTGGACCTACAGAGAACAATCAGAAGTGATCAGGTGCCAGGTTCCACTGGACCTCAAAAGAGTGTGGCTGGTGGGTTTATTTTACATGTAATGGGAGTCTTTTGTAAAATTTTTGAAAGGCTATGATGTGATCTGAATGATACTTTGAAAAGATAACTGGTTGCCGTTGGCACAGTAGTCCACAGAGGTCTGTAGCACAACTTTTGATTGTCACCAAATAGCCATTACTCTTCTTCAGTAATTCTCTGAATTTAGTTAAAAACACAGTTATTCACAATAAAAATTGTTCCCAGACTCTCTTAGGGTTAGGTATGGTCATGTGATTTTGTTTCAGTGGTATATATAAGTATAAAATGATACGTACATCTTAAGGAAATTGCTGCTTTGTTATTTATAATAAACTTTTTGTTTTAAGATAATTTTAGAGTCTGGGCAAGTTTTGTGTTTGTTTGTTTGTTTGTTTGTTTGTTTGTTTGTTTTAATGGAAAAGGAATACTCTATGCCACGTCTTCCTGCACGCTGAGTATGATGCAGGCATGGTAAATATGGAAAGTTGTGATGGCTGGCAACCTGATAGCCACATTGAGTCTTGAGATGACTTTGGGAATAGAAAACCTAACTGAATAAGATAGAATGGTCTTAGTTC